GGGGAGGTGTCACAGAGGTCAGGAAAAAGTCCATCTGGGGCAAGGGACATCAAACACCAGAAACTAGGAATGGGCACAGCTGCTGAGACCCTGATCTGGAGTTTTCCTCTCCAGACTGTGAGAAAATAACTGGGTTTAAACCACCAGTGACGAAGATAAGGAGCAGACAGACTACTCTGTGAGGGTCCTCGCAGAGTCAGCCTACGTGAGGTGGGTGCTCAGATGTCCCCTGGGTCTTGAAGGATGAGCAGGAGTTGCTGAGGTAAAGGTGCAGCTAAAGCAGCTGATGGGGACAAAGTTGTAAGAGACCAAGGTGTGTGCAGGGGACCACAGGGAGGGTGTCAGGCATGCCCAGAGAGAAGGGTGACAGTGGAGGCGTGTCTGCAGCAGGGGCTTTCAAACTGTAGTCAAAACCTGGTTTAAGTGAGGATCTTGGGCATCCCCACCCCCAAGAGTCCAATTCAATGTGGAGTTGGGCTTCATCTTCCAGGAGTCTAAGAGAGGCCCCGCCCCAGGGCACACTCGGAGAAACAGCTGGTTTGAAGAGAAAGGAGGGGCAAGCAGGAAAGATGAGGGCAGGCTGGGGAGGCACACAGGGACATGTGGGTCATGTGAGCAACAAGTGAGCCCCTCTGAGAGGGTTTAAATAAGCAGCAGGTCCCTACGAGGGCAGAAAGGCAAAGCTGGAAGGTGCCGAGGTCAAAGCAAAAGAGGGTCCTTAGCAAGTCACTCCTGTCCTCTAGCCACCTGGGAGAAGTGGCAAGAGGGTGAGAAGATGGATAGGTTTGGAAAATAGCATCTGGCAGGGCTCAGAGGTAGGTTGCTGGAGAGGAGAAAACAGGCAGGTTTTTCACTTGGGCCCCTGGGAGGCTGACGGTTGCAACCCTTGATTTGGCATGTAGGTTTTCAACAAAAGGACACACGTCTGAAGCTTAGGAGATGGAGTTTGAGATGCCCGTGGGCACCCGCCTGGAAGTGTCTCCCAGGGGTATCTGGACTGAGCCTCTGGAGCCAACAGAAATTGGACAGAAGGTGTGGATTTGGAACTCGCAGGTGTAAGGGCGGGCAGGTAAAATCTCCCAGACGAGGGACGAGATGAACGTGAGTTAGACCGTCTAGCTTATCAAACCACACTGAACCCACTGCCTCCGAGTCCATTCGACTGGTGGTGACCCTGGAAGGCGGCTGAGAACTCTCCTGCAGGGTGTCAAGGCTGCAAGTATTTATGAGAGCAGAAACCTTTGTCTTTCTCTTCAGGAGCAGCTGGTAGGTTCAAACTGCTGACCTTGGGCTAACCTTGATAAGTCTGGTGTTTCAAAGCTCCCTTTGGGTCACAGGTGAATAACTCAAGTAATGTGGAAATAGGCAGTTCACATGGTGCGGCAGAAAGAGCGCTTGCCCAGGGCGTGGGTGTGGGGGTCCTCCCCTCACTTATCACAGGGTGAGTCTGGGCACCTCCCTCAACCTCTGCCTTTTTTATTCCATCACCAGTAACATGTAGGAAGGCGTGGTGGCGTCATCTCACTTTCTTTGGGCATGCTGTCTGGGGCCTTGGCGGTGCCGTGGGTTAAGCGTGAGGCCAGCAGACAGAGAAGTTTGTGGTTCAAATCCACCAGCCGCTCTGCTGGAGAAAGATGAGGCTGCCTCATCTTCGGAATAGATGGATGGGCAGTTGATTTGTTTGGTTGTTGCTTGGATGAGGAGAGACAGTCCCTGGAGAGGACATCATGCTTGGTGATGGGGGAGGGTCAGTATCCGGCCCATCTTAGTGAAGGGGCGGTTCTCAGCCATAGCCAGCGTCTCTAACCCCTTCTCCACTTGAGCGTAAAAGGACACCTCTCCTAAGCCTCCCAGAAACGTCCTCCCCCCACGCCCTCGCCCCATCTTCACCGGTCCACTGGTGCCTGGGC